GTATTCAGCATCGGGGCTCGACATACGATAACAAGAGGCGCAACGTTTCCCGACCTGCCAGGACGCTTTGCGGCCCCGGACAGTCTGAGTTGAATAAGATTAAAACAAGGCGCCACGTTTCCAGATACCGTATCACACAATGCGAGTCAGTGCTTGTCTCTGCTTGACTCACAACTTCAGGTCCAGTCTATGCTAAGAGTTTTGCCCCATGCAATAGTACCGCGTTCTGTCCGCTCGAGTTTGCGGAAATTTGGTGGCCATTCCCAGTACACGTCTGATACTTTTCCATTGAAATGAACTTCTGCAATCTTGTTCAACCCCTGTCCTGTAGCCGGATTGTTTTTGTCAATTTTGAGTCAGGCCAGGATAACGGCTTGTCTGGCCCCTCGGTCCTTCTCGGCGGATTCTCCGATGTCTGTGTCTCGCCTCATTCACTCATGCCAACAGTAGGCGTTCATGGCGTTCCACCCAACAATACCTTTCATTCAATAACTCGGGGTAATTAGGTAATGGTCCCATTATCTTAATAGTCGCCCCCGTTCAGCGTGCCCATTGTCCGGATTCTACACGCTCAAACCTCCTAAGACGAGGAATACATATTATGCGACGTGGAAATGTTTCTGGAGTATGCGTTACTGCATGCAGGCTGAGATTTAAGCGGATTTGATGAGAGAAACTTAATGCTGTCAGAATGTCGTAGCATTTGACCGGATCGATTTTCCGGAAACATGCTGATAATAGATTGGTGAAGAGCATGCTTTATACGCCGACTCACAAACAGCATAACCCCCGCCGCCGTCGACGCGATGCTCGCCGACATCGCCCGCGTCCGCGACAAGCTGACCCTGTACGTCGGCTCCGACGTCTTCCCGCCCACGACCCTCCTCTTCACAGACTGGCGCGACGTGGATCCCTACGCCGCGGAGTTCGGGTTCGGCAGCCCCACTGGGTTCCGATGTCCCTGGGATTCTGTCACGGGCGGGCTCGTGGTGATTTACCTGCCGCGTCCTTGTGGCGTGAGCGGGGATGACGAGGGCAACGAGATCTCCTTGGCGATTGAGAAGGAGCTTGTGTGGGATTTCCTTGCGGATCCCGAGTGGAATCGCGTTTTCGAGTTTCAAGGAGTCGAGGTCGAGGACGTGGGTGTCGCTGCCGAACCACATGAGGGCGACGGGTAGGTCGAAAACATAACTCACATGGGCCAGTAGGCATGAATATTCCGATCCCCGACATCCTTCCTCGCCTGCGCAGCCAGCACGTTCACCTCATCCGCCTTCCACCCCAACCCGCGTATCAGAGCCGCCATGAGGAACCCCTGCAGACCGGTCGTGATGTTCTCGTGGTTCGAGGCGCCGAGCTCTTTGAATTTTGCGTGCCGCGGCCACGTGTTGCTGGGCCACTTGAAGCGCAGCTCCGACAAGTCGACGAAGCCGGCGGCCTCCATCATATGCTTGAGCGCGTCAAGGTCAACAAAAGCGTGGTCCGTTTTGGCCGCCGCCTCGACGAGGTGCTTCATGGACTGATAGAGAGCGTGCTCCTCCTTTAGTGTGTCATCATCGGAGAGGGGTTGGGCGAAATCCTGGAGCTCGAGCCAGCTGCCGGGGGTGAGGTTTCTGTAACGGTACATTAGAGCCGGGCTTAGAGAGAATATGGTCATTACTGAATGTACTCGTAAGATTGACGAATGTACTCCTCCCACTTGGATATGCTAGAGTTCATCATTCGGCTGTGGATGTAATTAAACAGGTGCGAGTACGTCCAGCTGTCTTCAATGTCGTCGACTTCGAACTTGACGTTAGGCGGTACACTGCATTTGACTTCTAGTAGTACCGTCACTAGTGTTGCCTACCGACCATGCTATTACCCCTTCTCGCCCTGCTACTCCAGTCCACTTGCTGCTGTTATGTGTCCTCTATAGGGGGTTATCAGAGCTAGGGCGAGACTCCTGCTGCAGTACGTCGGAGATCTGTGCTGGAAGCCTCGCGGACTGGTCTAACCGCGTACATCCGGACCGGCCCATAAGTGCACGTTCGGGTACTGGTATCTTGATTACTAGGGCATAGGATCCCTATGTCATGAGGTTGTGGGGTCGAGTCAGCGGAGCTCCAGCAAGAGGGCACTTGAGGGCGTTTTCATTGCAGCGAGAAGGTCTGGGTCAACATAATAAGAGAAGTCGAAGGAGACTGGGGTCGTTTGTGACTTAACTCTCATAGCGAGTAGTATCAGCGCTCCATTGAGTATGTTCGGGGATGAAGCCTAGCTGGGCTGCGATACAGTAAGCCTGCCGGGCTTCTTCGCTCTCTGTCCTCGAGCAGCGAGCGAGTCTCTGCAAAAGCCCCCGGGGCTTCTTTACTTTTCCTCCCCGAGCGGCTCTGGAAAAGCCCCCAGGGGCTTCCTCACTCTTCCTCCATGAGCGGCTGTAGAAAAGTCCACAGGCGCTTCTTCGTTTTTTATTCTCGACCAGCTCTGGCAAAGCCCCCAGGGGCTTGCTCGCTTTCTGTCCTTTTGTAACTCTAGAAAAGCCCCCGGGGGCTTCTTTATTCTCTATCCTCGATCCGTTCTGTTCTCGGCCAGCTTCCTCACTTCCTATCCTCGACCAGCTCTAGGAAAGCCCCCAGGGGCTTTTCGACCTGCTGCTGACCTTACCACCCAGAAACCCAGACCCCCTCCCCTCTTGCCCCTATATACCCCCCTATGCCTCCTCCCATTCCCTCCCTGCCTGCCTGCCTGCCTGCCTGCCTGCCCTCGTAACCCTAGCCCGCCCTAGCCTTGACCCGACCCGGCCGGTGCCGTGGGCGCGCGCTACTATTAGACCCTAAGTACTAGACCCTAAGTACTGTTATAACGTTAATCCCTAACTTCTATTAGCAGACCCTACTGTCGGATAAGCTGACCGTAATACTACACCTCCTATGACGACCCCTTAACACCACTAGCCTGGCAATCGTAAACGCCCTCTAGCTACCACGAAGCGGTTTCACAGTCCAACTTTATCAAAAGTCGGATCTCAGCCCATCAGGGAAGCTCTACAACACCGATAATTGAGGTAGTTAACCGACTAGCAAAGGGTGCGCAGGCCATAGCGCACTCGATCACTATTTTGACGGATCAGGTACGCACACTTCAGGATGCTAATGTGGCGCTTGCTAAGCGTCGGAGGGCGAAAAAGACGCATATGCAGCTTAGAGGAGCACTTAGTGTAAAGGAATTTCAGGTTATTTTGGAAGAAAAGGGTGAAGGGAAACGTCCAGCACCTTAAGAAGAAGGTGAAGAAGGCGGTCCGTCGAAGAAGGGTCGGTCAGCTCAACGGCGTTGCGGTGTGTGCGGTAAGACAGGCCATAATACGCGAACGTGTTCTAAAGATAGGGAATCATTTAACAATTCAGATGCCGATGAGACCTAATTGATTTTTGATATTCTGGCTATATAAACTTATAAGATGTTCACAAAGTCAGGAAAAGTGCGCGGCTGACTAGTAAACTACGTTAACTATATAGTAAGGCCTTCTGCGAGGTAATTATAGTATGCTAAACAGTTATGAGCAACATCAAATTTACCAGTTGCTCCTGATAACCATCTTTGACCTAAAGGTAGTTTAGTATTATAGTATAAAGCTTTTAAAATATCCCTTTACATACCTCTATTAATAACCTTTATTCTATTTGCCTTTTCTGCAGTTGTTGGCCCCCCATAGCCATACATCAGCCTAGTTAAAAGGTTAGATCTTAATACCCTAGAGACAGACATACAGATCTAAAATGGTGTAAAGATACTTACTTTTGGAGTTCACGAGGTTTCCATAGTACTATGCTCTGTTCCCAGTCGACGGATTGAAAGATCCTGGAACCGCCCGTCCAGGAAGTCCTGATTTTCGCTTTAGGGTGTAGATACCACCCCTCGAAGTCATCTCCTGAGTCGGAGACATGGCCGAAAACAACTCCAACATGCGAACAGCCGACTTTGTCAACAACATATTGTCCTCCCTCTAAACCACCGCTATATCTATAGCCAGGTTCGACTGTCTCGCAGTTCATGAAGAAATAGTAATCGCCCGGGATAAGCTGAGTAGGTATAGCCGCTTGTACTACCTTGTAGGCATCAGTTGTAGCACGGGGTACCAGCTTGACTTCGTGGGGCAGTCTTGAGGTCTCATTATAAAGATTGCGCGTCTCTTGAGTATACGTAGGGTGATTAGATTCCGGAGAATCATTCGGAAGAGCAATGCAGAGCGTAATAGCCCCTAAAACAAGAAGGTATAGTCCTCTCATAATGATAATTAGGGATGAAAGGTTAGATCTTAGAGAAAAAGTACAAGCTGGGAGCAAGCTCCAGATATTAAATACCTAGAGCAAATAAAATCTCTATTAAATATTACAGGAGTATTAGAGATGTAAATTAATACGTAAGATAATTTAATCTTAACTCTAAGTATAGACATATTAACGTAAACACCCTGTATATATATTATAACTAATTTATTATTACGGAAACTCCGCGACTAGAAAATATATGTACATTAAGAATAACCCAATCTAACAAGCCCAACCTTACCACGGAAATGTTTTTAATATTTGACCCACCTTATCACTTTCCGGGCAGGCCGACTTTAGCTATATTCTTTTATTATATCACGTCTTTAATCTTAGCTTTTAGTGTTATTGTTAGTTTATATTAATGAGGGCAGCGTTAAGTTATAAAAGTAATAAGGAAAATAAAAGTGTACCGACGCGCAGTTCGCAAGGAAGGCTGGCCGTGTTTTGCTTATATTATACTTTATTAGGGCAGAGCTAAGTGCGGTCGAGCCAAGTATATTAGTATGTTAGATAAACCTTTTGGTCCGTCCGACGGAATATCTCCTGCTTAACGGAGAGTCCGGAAAAAAGTTTTTTTGTATCGATTAAGATTAGGGTTAGTGGTTTGCGTTTCGAACATAGTGACCGAAAAACCGAAGGACTTATTTAAGTGGAATCTAGAGAGCTCTTTTACAACGGAATTATGAAGGGCTAGCTTTGATAAAGACTAAATGACTGCCTCGTCGTTTGGGCGTTTAATCGCTATATGCGCGCATTAACCGTCATTACTTTTTTACTTAGCGAGAGAACAAAAATAAAACTTAAAAAGTGCGGACATGTTTATCCAAAGTGTGCAATTTAATTTAGTTGGTTGCGCCTTAAGTCCTGAAGTGACGTACTTAACTTTATTTCAATTAAGTAGGAGCTTAAGCTAACAATAGCTCTCTGTCTACCGCTTACTGCGGCTACGGGGTAGCCGGCCATGGGCTGCATTCATGTACTGCATAGTAGGAACGAGTCAATACCAAG